GAAAGGCTGAAATCCTTTACAACACCCAAGGGCAACACCTTCCTCAGCTCCCTGAAGTGCCCTGAGTGCTCCCCATTGCATGGAGCTCTCCAAACTGGTTTTTACAAGGAAATCTGGAAACCAAACACTAAACCAAGGCCAAAATACTAAGAGAAAGAATCAAAGCAATGACAAGGGAAGGACATTCATAATGTGCATCCAATTGTTGACTACTAGATCAGCACTTTTAGTGGTGGCAACTCATGCCCAGAGCAGTAAGTCCACACAGGAATTGCAGCATGGGATGTTCCCTTCAGATTCCTCCTAGGACATGGGAACAGCAGGGGAGAAATGAGCTCAGCCTGGTCCTGCTGCAGGTTTTGCCCTGGATCAAACACATCCCTTCCCAGGCCTGACTTTACCAGTGCTCCTGGTGCAGTTATGAGCCAGAACCACAACTGCATCTACACAGGGAATGTCCATACCTGGTCCAGGAATCCTGAAACACCTCATCCTCCCAGAGGATCCCCTACTCCATCCCCTGGAGCTGTGCCCAGGCCCCCCCAGCTGAGCTGATTTCACAGCTCTGCTGCCCCAGACTCCTCTGAGGAGGTCACAGCCCAGAGCTCCTCCCCACATCCATCATTCCAAAGACCTCCTGCCTTGCACAGAAGGAAGTCCAAGCTCTTGGCATGGCTGGAGGCATCACACCAGGCAGCAATGCCCTGTCCCAGCACCATCCAAGGGGCATTGATTTCCAGGCAAGGGGAAGGAATGGGGTAAATCCTTCATCCTTCTGCTTAGCTGAAGCTCTGACTTCTATTGAGCATTCCCAAAAGTCCTGCTAAAGGCAGAAGTCAGGAGAAAGACAATCACCAAGCTCCAAGCTGCTCTCACATGGACAAAGGCAGAAGTCAGGAGAAAGACAATCTCTAAGATCCAAGCTGCTCTCACATGGATTAAATAAGGGGAGAGAAAAGCCCAAACAAGAACAACTAAACCCCTCAAGAACCCCCAACCTTTGCCCCTTCCTTGGGAGCAACAGGTTTCCTGGGAGAAGCACTAGGAGGCAGAAAGGAAGGTGAAGCTGAAGGATTGCTCTGAGCTGCTGTTGGCTGATTAAGATTGGAACTGATTGTGATGTTAGGCTCAAGGAGGGCAGCAATTAGCATTTCAGGCAAGGACAGGGATTGAGCTGACGTGAGTTGTTCATTGGCTTTCCTTCCCCACCTCCACATGGCATGTCTGATGCTCTCTCATCACACCTCACGTCCTTAATGCCCTGTGCATGCAACTCCCAGATCTCTGCAGCCTATAATGAAGAGATCCTGTCACATCTCCCCGTGCCACTAACAGAATAATGGCTTTCCTGAGCAGAGGCTAAGCTGAGAAGCTTCTTTGCCAAGCAGGAGACCATTATCCTTGGACAATGTTCTGTGCCAGTGACTGTGCCTCATTATACCAAATGGGGAATGCTGCACATGGGGGAGGCAGCTGGAAAGCCTGGATGCTGGGAAGGGAAGCTTGAGTGGTTCTGAGCTTTAGGATGCCAGGTCAGGTTGAGGATTGTGGCCCATGGCAGAGGTTAGACCCTGCAGGCAGTGCCAGCTGGCCAGAATGGGCCAGCTTAGCAGATGGCATAGAATTTTAGGGTTTGGAATGGACCTTAGAGATGATCCAAGTCCATTCCATGGGCTGGGTCACCTCCCCACTAGACAGGAGGACAAGAGGACAAGGTCAAGGCAGGAGGACACAGAAACGACCTCAGAGCCTTGTGAGGGGAGGAGAGATCTGGAGAAACAGCCTGGGCAGTGTAGGCTTGTCAGTAGGTGCATGATCATGTCATGGGCACCCAGCAGATGGCTGGAGGGGAAACCAAGCAAACCCTTCCCTTGGCCCTTGTCCTGCTGCATGTCAGGCCCCAGAGCAACCACTGTCCCTACAGCCACTCACTGCCCCAAGCACAGCCCTCCTTGGCCAGCCTGGTGGTGCACAGCCCCTTCCCACCCTCTGGGGGAACCCACCAAGGCTCACCCAGCTCCGAGCACTGACCCCCTGCCCATTTGGTATAACGAGGCAATGAGCTCCCTGAGGAATGCAGAGTGTTTGGTTTGAGCACTGCCCCTGTAAATGCAGCCCTCCTCATATCTCTCTCTGATCAGGCTCTTTTTTCTGCTTCTCTCTGTTTTATTCCCATTCTTTCTTCTCCTTTTCACCTGGTCTATCCACATGGACCATGAAGGTCTCTTGAAAGGTAGGACCACGTGCTGCCAGGAGCCTCCAGCACATTCAGCTTTTTATTTGCCTTCCTTCTACCTATTGATTTCTTTAGAGCTGAAACAATCCTCCCCCTCCCTGTCCCCACCAACCTTCCTCACCTAACACATTAAACAAGATCCCTCTAACTCCTGCTGGCATCAGGGTTACCTCCACCTCCAGGGAGCTTAGAAATGGGGCTGGGGGTACCCCTGAGAGCCAGCCAGGCCCCCCCAGCCCCATGCTCATGCTCATCCCTCCTGATGTAGCAGGACCAGCCAAAGGTTGGACCTGGGGATGATGTCCTCAGTGCATTCAGCACCCAGGGGATGGGGCCAAGGGGCATGAGCCAAAAGCAGTGGATCCTAAGGCTCTGGATCTGAACACTCTTTGTCTCAATCCTCCCTCTGGCTCGAGCCTCCCCCTCTTCCCACTGATTTATGCCACTCAGGACAACGTGTCCCACGTGGTTTGCAGCTGGGTGCTCTGCTCTCTAATGCACACATCAGCAACCCCCCCCAGAAAGCCATTTCACCAGGGTTATATTACATCAAGAGGCTGATGATGAGTATCTGCTTCGCCCTCCTAATGCACTAACAGGATAAATAGTCCTGGAGAGAGGTAAAACCAGGGGGAATGGTCAGGAAAGCCATTGCTGGGGTGTTTGGTGCTGCAAACCCCCTGCTAGGGAAAAATCTGGCTCAGCATTCAGCTCTAAGTGAGCCCCCAAAGCTTGGGAAAGGATGTTGGGAGGAAAGGATCTGTGTTTTGCCACTCTCTACTTGGCCCTTTTTGGGGTTTTCTAACCAGCAGTGCTGCTTGCAGACTGAGCTCTGCCTCCTCCCCCAAATGAAGCTGCTTTCAGAGCTAACAAGGTGTTATTTACTGTGATGCCAAGTTACCACAAGGTCTCAAACCCTGGGGTGGTGTTAGTGCTTAATGCACAAAGTGCTGATGTGGGGAAACACATTGGGAAGCTGCAAGTTGTGCCCTGGGATCCCAAATTCCTCTCCCACTGCAGAGAGCTGATGCCATCAATGAACTGGGATGAGGGAGAATTAAAGCCTTTCCCTCCCTGGCCCAAGCAAAGTGCAAGAAAAGCCTCAATTTACCAACTGTAAGAAAAATAAAGGAACAGAGAGTGTGAGTCTGATGAGCCCCAAGCTAAACCCACCACCATCAAACACAGGAGTGGAGGTGGGAACACAAATATTTAAGGTCTACCTGTGATACCTTCAAGAATCTGACAGAATTTCCATGCTGGACATAAAATCAAACATAAACTAAAGACTAGTTGATATGAAAATTAATATTTTATAGAGATAAATCCACTCTCATCCTCCCCAAAATATCATCTCTATTTATGAGACACCAGCCCTTGCCCTCCAGAGAGAAAACAGCTCTCCCCTCTTTATTTTCTAGTTAAAAGGCTTTCTTTAAAATGTTTTCTTCCCCTCCTGTGGGTCAAACTATTTATTTTCCACTGACCTGCCTTAATCTTCCTAGTGAAAGAGAGAAAAGCCTAAAGAACTGAGCAAACAAGTGTAGCTGCTGAGAAATAAGCCTGGAAAGGTAAATTCTCCTGAGCTTTGGGAGCTGCACAGAACTTGGCACCTTCTGTGTCCCTCCTTGCAGTGCTTTGAGTGCTCCCCATTGCATGCAGCTCCCCAAACTGGTGTGTGCAAGGCAATCTGGAAACAAACCACTGAACCCAGTTCCACCAAGGCTAAAATCCTACTAAGAGAAAGGAAGAGAAAAAGCAGTGACAAGGGAAGGATATTACTAATGCACATCCAGTTGGATGGACCAACTTGGTTTGGTCATCAATTTTGTCCTAGAGGTTAAAATATTGGCTTGCAAACTGGAAAAGCCTAAAAGTTGGGCATGCAGAGACACCAAGCACAGCACCTACTCCCCAGGCAGCTGTGGGTCTCCTCCCCACCTTCACCTAGGTACCACCACCATCCCCTTGGACCTGCAGCCAGAGCATCCCCAGTTTTGGGCTCTGCTCCGTGCCTTGACACACTGGATTGACGATTGACTCTCCAGACCTTGGGTGCAGGTTCCTAGCCCCTTTTCTCAACCCTTAATGTGTCTGTCTGTCTTCTGCTGCCAGTGATGAAGACAACAAACCTCTTCCCAACAGCCAGACCTCGCTGGACGGGACGATAAAGCAGCAGGAGAGCGACGACAGCTTGGTGGACTATGGAGAGGGGGGAGAAGGGCAGTTCAACGAGGATGGTTCCTTCATCGGCCAGTACACGGTGAAGAAGGACAAAGAGGAGACTGAAGGCAATGAGAGCTCCGAAGCCACATCCCCAGTCAATGCCATCTACTCCCTGGCATAGCTCAATGCCCAGAAAACACCCATAGCCTGAGGGTCTGTAGTGGATGGGGGTTAAACTACAGCCACCGCCACTCCCTCCGACACCAACGTGGGAACGAAACCGACTACGACGAAAAAAAAACCAAAAAAAACATGGAAAAAAAAAAATAGGAAAAAAATTAGAAAAAAAAAAAACCAACCCAAGCAAGCAACCAGGCAGCCCTGGAGGCTGCTGAGCCATCCTACCCTTAGCAAGGAGCCAACGGCAAGGACTGCAGGGCTGGGGCTGAACCCTGGGCTGAGCCACACGGGCTGCAGGAGGAGATGCTTGAGCCCAGTTTGGGGGCTGCATCCTCAGTTTTGGGGGCTGCATCCCAGTTTTGGGGGCTGCAACCTCAATTTTGGGGTCTGCATCCCCCAGTTTGGGGACTGCATCCCAGTTTTGGGTGCTGCATCCCCAGTTTGGAGCTGCAACCTCCGTTTTAGAGGCTGCATCCCATTTGTGGGAGTTGCATCCCCAGTTTGGGGTTGCCCCAGCACCCAGAGCCAGCCCAGAGGGGTTCCCCAGTTGGTTTGGCCACCCAGACCCCCCCTAGGCTTTTTGTTCTCTTGGGAGGGAGCTGGAAATCCTTGGTTTTCATTTTTACAGGAAGGTTCTTGGTAAGAGGGGAAGGAATACAAGGGTTTGGGGGAGGGCAGAGCAGGGAGAGAGGCCTGGGCAGAGCAGCAAGAGCAGCACAAAGGCAGGAGGGGAGGGGAGTGGTGGGTTTGGGTCCCCACAGTGCAGCACTGCACTCCTGAGCTGTCCATCCTCACGGCAGCACCTTGCCCATAGCCTCTCCCAGAACAGCAGCACCACAACCTCCTTCCCAAAAGATCAAGCAGCACCTATGCAGGGAAGAGCAGGTCCCACCACCTCCCTCAGCACTGTTGATGCTGAGGCCTCATGATCCATCCCCTCCATGGGGAGCTCTGTCCATCCCACCAGGCTCTGGAGCATCCTCAGAGGACAAGAGGCTGCAGAGGAGCTTGTGGGACTTGTGGAAGGACTAGTGAGGTGTCACCCACCCTCCAAGCCAAGGGTAACAGCATTGCAGGCAAACCATGTGGGTTTAATCTTTGCTCTGTGAGAACTGGGGGTGGGAAATGCCTCCAGATCACACCTGCTCCAAAGGCAACTCCAGAAATCTTATGTAGCAAAGGAGGGAGTGGAAGCAGGGCCAGGATTAACACAGGGTGATAGGCCAGAAATCACCTGTTTTGAAAGAGCTCAAAGATGGTGAGGATGGAAGAACCCACCAGGAGCAGGTGGAGGATCTCCTGCTCCACCCTGCACAGCTTGGAGGGGTCAGGGACACATCCCTGGGGGGGCAGGAGGAAGACACAGACGCTGAGAGCACAGGACCTGAGCTCCACCTCTCCCCCAGGCTCTGGGATGAGCTGGATGGATGGTGTTTCCCACCCAACTCCCTCCTCACCTCTGACAGTGGCCTTTCCCCCATCAATCAGCCTGAGCAAGTCCCTTCCACGCCTGACCTTGGGCCTCCCCCACCGCTGTCTTCTCTACATATCAAGCCCCACTGCGATTTCAGTTGCCCCCTAAGAGGCTGGACCAGCAGGGCTCGGCTGGGAGTGCTCCTTCACATGCCTTACACAGCTTGGAACTTCCCAGGAAGTTTACTAAACTGATACTCCTCCTCCCTCTCCCAACTTACTCACCCCTAACGCCGTGGGCTCTGATGCGCCCGAGCAGTAGGAGTAGGAGCCTGGGCAGCTCTCCCAGCATGGAGCATTGTAGAAGGTAGAGTTTTACCAGAGACTGGACTTAGTGGCCAATGCCATGTGTATCCTCTCACTTCCTGCACTTTTGAAACCAAAGGTACCTTCGCTGAGAGAGAGAGAGATCAGGTTCCTTCAGACCATTTCATGGATGGCAAACGGCGTTAGGATGGACCTTTCTTTCCTTGTTTGTTTCTAAGGATGTTGGGCTTGCTCCAAGGAGGTTGGGTTTGCCCCAAGGAGGTTGGGTTTAACCCTAAG